TGAGGACACCATGGGTAATTTTTTTTTTTTTTTTACTTTTTCTTTGTAGTTTTCTAGTTCTTCCAAAATTTCTACATTGGGATACCGTTTTTATAATATTTATTTGGTACTTTTTTATAATTATAAAAATATTTTTTTTAATTAAGGCAAATCTGGCTTGAGATACGCAATAAGTACAACAGCTTCTCTGTCTCATATACACATGTAGATGTGTAACTCCAGAAGAAGCTTCTGAAATATTTTATGTAAATCTCATTCTCAAAAACAAAACCAGACTTTGAATTCATCAAGATTGCAGGCTGTGAACACAGTGACAGAAATTGACAGGCGGGGTGCTCAGCCGGCCTCCCTAAAGGGCCATTCTCCTTTCATTGGGTACAAAGTATCCAGGTGGGCAGTGGAACAACCACTTCTCAGGGACCCTGTCCCCCGGGCACTGTAAAGGCCACCTGCTTCTGCATATACCTGAGGATCTGTCCCCACAGATGGCACAGATGTGTTTAACCAAAGATCCAGGGCTGGTAGACGGATAGTTCATGTTTCCAATCCCGGGAAGCCCTGGTAAGGGTTTGATGTCCTCTGAACTGCTGACACTGTTGACCACATTTAGCTGCAAGAGAAAAAAAAATACTATAAAGCACAGAGCCAGAGTAAACCCAATCCCCGAGGCTTAAGGCAATGAGGGCACATTCAAGACAAAACAAGTTCTATTTCAAGAAGTGGTTTCCAAGTACAGAGTATCTGAACCTGCCTATCTGTGATGTGAATTTAAGGGAGGGAAAACGTGGCACAAGAGGAATGCAGAAGCTGAAACCCCAACCAAAAATCACAACACGTTTCCATTAGAGTCCCTCTGCTTTTATTCATTTTACTCATGTGTTTTATTTGAGCTAGAAATCCAAGCAGAACTGTACACCGAGGACAATGTCAGCTGTGCGTTTTAAAATTTTTATCAACTACCACTGGGTACAGTAGTTCATGTCTGTAATCCCAGCACTTTGGGAGGCCAAGGCAGGAGGATTGCTTGAGGCCCAGAGTTCGAAACCAGCCTAGGAAACATGGTGAGACCTCATCTGTACAAAAAAATTAAAAAATTAGCCATGCGTGGTGCCATGTGTCTATAGTCCCAACTACTCTGGAAACTGAAGCAGAAGGATTGCCTGAGTTTAGGAGGTCGAAGCTGGGGTGAGCTGTGATAGTGCCACTGCACTCCAGTCTGGGCAACAGAGTGAGACACTCCCCCGTAAAAAAAAAGAAAGAAAAAGAAAAACATTTATAAACTACCAACTGCTCATTCTGCAGTGCTCCAAGAAGAGCTATGACCCTCAGAAAGACTTAGACTCTAACAGAGCCAAACAAAAAATGCAAATCTATTCACTTGTCAATCAACAGACATCGCCCAAGTGCTCATTTTACCAGGCACTATACCAGGCTCTGAGGCACAAAGGCAAAGAAAAATGCACACCCAGAGGGATTTCACAGTAAAACAGAAGAGGATATGTGTAATGGTCATCTCTGTAAGCCCACTGAAGATGCCAAATCCCCGGAACGTTGGAGTAGCACCTGAAATGAAGTAGAAAGTCTCAGATCATGCTCCTGAATTTGTTTGTAATAAACAGATTGTCTTCCCGTGAAACTGTAAGCCCCATGGATTCAGAGATTGTGTCTGCCTTGTCTTCCCAGTGAGGCCCAGCACATGGTAGGGAGCTAGTAGATGGAATAGCTGTGCACATGAATCTTAGACATCCCTTTCCTCATCTGGTATTGCAAGCTAACATCAGCTCTCCACCCCACCCCCATGTCTCCCAGTGCTCTGAGGAAGATTACTAAGAAGCAGCTGTAAGTGTTTTGTGTTCACCAAAGAAAACAAGTTGAATAAATATGAGCCTGTCATCCCATTGGCAATATTCCTGAGTGTCCATGGGTGTAGAACAACATTCTAGGCCCTGAGAAGGAAGACATCAAACCCAGAAAGTATGTCTCTCATTTCTCAAACAAGTATAAACTCACCGAGGAGCCAGAACATGCACAAACAAGCAAGTCCAGATGAAGATGGTGTAGAGTATGCATGTGCTTAAGTGTCCAGGAGATATATCCAGTAGCCATCTGGGAGTTAGGGCCCTTGACTATCCACAATCTATCTGAATTTTGAATTATATTGCCTGACTGAAGTGACTGGAAACTCTGACTGAACCAAAGGTATGATTTTCCTCTCTATTTAAAGCTTTCGGGACAGAAGAAATGATCAATAAAACATAAACTACAACACAGCCTGAGTTAGGTTTCTTCTAAATTTGCTAGCTTTTCAATTCACTAAACAAATATTTATTGAGCATAGGAGGTGAAGAGAGGTTCTGGGTTAAATGCTATGAGGGATACAAAAAAGAAAGACTCGGCCTTCAGTGCCTTGCTTTGAAAGCAATGTCACTAGGAATTTTTTTAAATTAATTTGCATAATGGATGAAAACACACAAGTGATAGGGGAATTCTCTCACTCCAGCCTCCCTCCCCTTTCTATACTAGGCTGAGACAAGACATCTGGAACTTGTGTCCAGCATTTTGTTTTGTTTTGTTGTCGTACAGTGGGTCTCAAGCCTGGGAGCTCTGATAACTCCGATGCCTAGGCCCCAGCCTAGATGTTCTGATTCAATGACTCTGAGGCACGGCGTTGGCTTGGGCATTTCTGCAAGTTCACCAGATGATGCTGGCATACAGCCAGGGTAGAGAACCACCATGTGATGTGAATTCTGTCGGTGGAATTCTAGGCAACAACTTTTCCCCAGTGCCTCAAGGAAACAGATAGTACTTGGATCCATCCCATGAAAGGGGAGAATTTTAGGTCAGATGACCCCACAGAAAGAGCCCTCTAGCTGACCATGGCTCTGTCCCCAAATCCTCAGCTGGACAAGAAAGGTCATGGGACTAAGGAGGAGACTACCATCACCTGGGTTTTAGGAGGATCTCATTCTCCTTCCCTTCCCACCCCCATCTCTAGCAATACCAGCGCCATGAGAATTATGGTTATCACTACCATCTATGGAAAGTTTGCTCGCCAATTAATTCTATGACTCTTCGTAACACTCATAAGAGAGCCTCCTATTTTTCAGATGAGGACATTGAGACTTACAGTGGTCTATCTATCTGTTCATTCGGAATTTCTATGGAGATATAAAAAGGGAGAAGATGCAGGCACTACCTCAAGGAACTGGCCACTAATGAGATTAAAATCCAGTTGAGAAAGTTTAGGAATGAAAGATCACACACTATTGAAATCGGTGAAGACTTCCTGAAGGAAGTAGCCCTTGAGCTGGGACTTACAGCCTTCAAAAATGGGTAGGATTCAGATGGGCCAATGATGGGCGAAAGGCTTTGACAGCAAAGGCCTAGAGAGAAATCCAAGCGTTTGTGGAGCTAACATGTGGATGGATGGGAGATAAGACTGAGACTGGGCTGAGATAGAGCCTGCAAGCTTGATTGCCTGGCTAGGAGGGTGGATTTAGTTTGGTGGGCAATCATGGAGTATTTGAGCAGAGAAATAATGCCCTGAAACTCTGCCTCAGTGGAGTAAATAAGGAAGCAGAATGTGGAAGACTGGAGGAGACACCCAAGGTTACTGAACCTGCCTGGGTACCAGGTTAGACACCTTGCCAGGTCTGACTGGTTGGAGATAGAGTCCCAGGCTTCTGGGCCCCAGGTCATTGTTTGGCCTTCACCACATTGTCTGCCTTGGGTGACAGGAGATCCTCAGTCTTCACCTACCCTAGCAGCTTCCTGTCCCCACCCTCCTTGACCAGGAACCCCTGGAGAAGCAAACTTGCTTTGTGGCACCATCTCTTCCATCTGGGACAGCAGCCTCCCTCCAACCCCAACCCCCTCCCGTTCATGAGTCCAGAGTGCCATGAGAGGGACCTGCAGGGACAGGTGGGTTGGTATCCGTGTCTCCTGCTGGTGTGGGGACTGCTTGGGCTCAAAGCAATGGCAGATGAGATTAAAGGCAGCCATCAGAGCATAAACCCATTAGCTGCCTGGTGCTGAGTCCCCCAATCCCGGCTGTCTTGTTCCATTAGAGGCAATCTACCGAAACAAGCACTTTAGTGCCAGAATTCACCAGGTGACTCCTAGCTACTGCTGCACGCGAACCAGTCGCTCCCTGGGAACAGGATAGAAATGTACTCGCCTGCTGGCTTGTCTTCCCTTTGCAGACTCAGTCAGGGACCAAATGCTTTCTGGATGCTTCTGGAACCATCCCAGAACATCCAGCCATACATTTCTGAGCTACCGTCAGTCCAAATCATTCCAACAGAGACCAGGCTGCCAGTGGACACTGCCGTCCCAGAGCGCAGACACCTTGCAGCAGCGCTACTGAAACCTAGCTAGGGACCTTGTCATGAGAAGCAAGGAGCCGGCACCTCCCAGCTGCATTCTGAGACCTGCCACTTCCTGGCTGTGCCATCTTAACCAGCTCACTTCACTTAGCAGAGATGTTGTTCCCTCATCTCTAGGCTAAATCAGCGGTTTTCAAACATAGAATGTGTGCATGGCAGAAGGCAGGGAGATTGAGGCTTCAACATTTCCTGTCCCTGGTTCAACCAGATCCGTTTTTATTTGACCTGTATATCAGGCAAGATGAATGCTTGAGACCAGGAGTTTACGATCAGTCTAGGCAACGTAGCCTAGAGACCTCATCTCTACAAAAATAAAAAATAAAATAAAAAATAAGCCCTGCATGGTGGCATGTGCCTGTAATCCCAGCTACTGGAGAAATTGAGGGAGGGGTCAAAGCTTTGGTTTGCCATGATGGTGCCACTGCACTCCAGCCTGGATGACAGAGTGAGATTCTGCCTCAAAATAATAATAATAATACCTGATCGGAAACAAGCAGGGCTAGAACCCAAGGCAGGGAGCAGAGTCTTGGAGGGGAAACAGAGGTGAGGGCGTTCCAAAGCCCTGCGGACCTGTTTCAGCCAACAGACACCACATTGATTGGAGGGGAAACAGAGGTGAGGGCGTTCCAAAGCCCTGCGGAACTGTTTCAGCCAACAGACACCACACTGACAAGTATTCAGCCTCACACACACACACACACACACACACACTCAAAAAAATGTATCCTAGATCACATTATCTGAAAGGTACTCAAACATCTTCCCAGTGATATGCTGGTGTCCTTAGAAATTGCTCACTCCCCAGGGCAGGGACTGAGTCTTTTTTTTTTTTTCTTTCTTGTGTATCTCCATAACCTAGCACCGGCCCTGGTTCAAAAAATGCTTGTCAAAATGAACTTTTCTAGAACCTTTGAGCAACACAGTACACCTTACTCAATGAACAGCCAGGTGTGTGATCCATATCACCGAAGAATAATAATACTAGTAATACCACCTATTTCTATAGAGTTCTGTACACCTTAAGAAGTGATTTTTACAAATTCACATCTCCTTTGACATTCATAAAAATCCCCGCTGGGTAATAAGGGCAAGTATTTGTAGCCCCACAACAGAGAAAAGGAAACTGAAACAGAAACACGCTCATGTATTTGCAAAAGGTCACCCAGTTCCTGCCTCCGTTGAACCTGTGCAGTCTTCTTTACTCCTCAAGAGGAAAAGTCCATCAAGTGCGAAAAGAGAAGCTCAAACAATGGAATGACAGAGCACGGGGTAGGAGACCGGCCCTGCCGCTGCTCAGCCCCAGGAACTTCCTCCTCTCTAGGCCCCACGTCGTACTTACCCGTGACCCAGGTCACAGAAAGAGCATGCTTCCGGCTCGAGTTCCACTCAGACCGAATCCTGGGCAAGGATGGCAGGATGCATATAGCAATGTGCCCGGATTATCTAGAGTCCAACTCACTGTGGCTAACACCGAGGCCTTTTGTCCAGTGTCACCTCGCTCATTGGGCAGTCTTAGGGCCGTGTGCCTCTGGATCCCAGGTCCAGAGCACTGCTCAGGGTCTCAGGCTGCTGAATTTCACCAGTACTTGGCAAGCTCAACATAATTCCCAAAAGCCAAACTTGGCCTCAGCCACCGCACACAGCCCAGTTGGCCAGGCCCAAAGCTTCCAGCTGACCTTTCAACCCCAATCCCTCTGTACACACATACGGTCTAGGAACAGGACCGTATGGCTCTGAAGATGAATTGAGCCAGGTTTGGCTCCGTCAGACTTGAGTGTGGTTGCTGAAAGCAGTCTTAGAGGGATGGGATTGCCCAATTCCTGCCCACAGGCCCTGTCACTCTACCTCCTCACCCTGTTTTATTTCTTCATACATATGATGATTTCTATCTGAAATCATCTCATTTATTTCGTATGTCTTTGTTGCTACAGTGTAACGGCCACAAGAGAAAAGACTTTGGCCACCTCATTCAGTGCTGAGCCCTAAAACTAGGACAGTATCAAGTAGTGCCTGATATATCACAGGTCCTCAGAAACATTACTGGAATGAATGTCAATGCCCTTTGCAAAATGACTTTTTCATCCCAGAGCGTCAGTGTATCTTTCTGTCTCTAACTACCAGCTTTGATTCGCCTTCCTGGAGTCTGTTCGCAGGAAAAAAGGGAATAAACAAATCTTGTACATTACAAAGGGTAGGGTGGCAACAGTTCTGCTGATGACAGTGGGTGGGAGCAATATAAATATACATAGATCCCCACCACTGCCTCATCCCCATGCCTCTGAGCAGTTTTATGCTCTCACTGGGGTCGAGGTGTGCAGGCAGTTCACAGGTTCCCTCCCTCCGCCCCTTCAAGCTCTGCCCCGACATCTGCGACAGCACTACAACATTGCATTGCAGTGTATCTGCATGATAAATTGGCCACCTCTCCCACGAGAGTCCTTGGGAGCGTTGACTATCCATCCTTTAACCCTTGATCGCCAACTGGCAGATCTTGTGGTCACAGTTTAAGTCAGCATATATCACAGCACTAGGTGAATTCAGTGTTGTAAACACAGGACTAGAGGTCAGAAGACTTGGGTTCTAATGCTGGCTCTGCTATTGACTGGCTGTGTGAGGCTGGACAAGTCACTTGGGCCCATTGAGTCTCACTAGCTCATTTGTAGAATGAAGGATTCAGTCAGGATAAGGGGTTCTCATCTGGGTCTGGTGAAGCATTTAGAATCCCCCCTGGGACTTTTGAAACCTGCATGAATATGGGTTGGAGGGGTGGAATGTATACTCCTAAGAGATCCTACCTCCAGTGAGAACCATTTGATTAGAAATTAGGGCAAAAATGACTGACCAAATAAGACCCTCAGCAGTGTTTTCCCTGGCCTGGGGAGTACTTTAAAAATCTTTGAATCTGGATGGTTTCCAGGGAGCAGGGCAGCTCCCTACAGTCCCCACCCACCCTCCTGACTTACACCCACCCTCACTCACTCATCTGGATTCTGGCCACTGTCACCCCTAACCTGGGTGATCTCCAAGGCCTTCTCCAAATTCTTCAATCTATGGAGCAACACATTTCTAAAGTCCCAACTGACTCTAAAATCCTGGGACTCCATATGAATTTGCTTTCTGACCCCTAGAATGCAAGTGTCTCAGAAGAGAATCTAACCATGGTCTCTGGAGCGCTCTCTGCAGGAGTAGAAAATGCTGGCGTGGCAGAAGCCCTGCCTCTTCTTCAAAACCAAATTCAAAGGAGGTATCAGGACTATGTTAGTAAGTGTTCTCTGGGGAAACAGAACCGATAGGAGATATACATGTGAGTGTGTGCATGTGTGTGCATGTGTGTATTTAGGAGATTTATTATAAGGAAGTGTCTCTGTGATTATAGAGGCTGACAAGGCCCAAGATCCACAGGGTGAGCCAGGAAGCTGTGGATTGGAGACAGCCGATGGCATAGTCCGAAGGCTAGAAGCCTCAGGATCCAGAAAGAGCCAGTGTTTCAGTTCAAATTTGAAAGCAGGAAAAAAAATGAAGTCCCAGTTCAAAAGCATTCAGGCAGGAAAGTCATCTCTTACTTGGGGGCTGCTGGGGGGAGGCGGTCAGTCTTTTTGTTCCATCAGACCTTCAACTGATTGGACAAGGCCTACCGCATTAGGGAAGGCAAAGTCCTTTACTCAGTCTACCTATTTCAAAGTTAACCTCATCAAAAAACACCCTCATAGAAACATCCAGAATAACATCTAACCAAATATCTGGGCACTCTGTGGCCCAGTCAAGTTGATACATAAAATTAATCATCATAAGAACCTACCAATTCTGCCTCTAAGTACCCTGGTGGTTGGGGCAGCAGAGACCCTGGCTGCTATACAGAGGGAAGAGGTTGTGGTAGATGAGATGACTGTTCCTAATTCTTCACAGCCTGTGCACTGTCTTTCTAGTACCTCCCACTAGAACAGATATGGCCGATTTCCTTGCTCAACCAATGTTGGAATTAGCCTTGTGTTATTTGTTAGGCTGATGGAATGAATATTAGAAGCATCATGTGAGCAGAGGCTTCACTGTGCTCTCTGAATTTGGCCTGGCCTTTTGTACTCCTGTGAGTCACCATGAGAAAAGCCTGCCTCAGGTAGCTACTGTTCCTTCTGACTGGGACACGAGGAGCCCACAGCTGAGTCTGGCTCCCTGGCCGTCTGAAGCAGAGCTATCCTAGCCTAATGCAGGCTTGTGAGTTTGAAGGTACATGCTTGATTTTGTAATGCATGACAATTTGGGAGTTGTTTGTTATGCAGCATTATCACTACAACCACCAAGCACTACAAGAGGGGAAAGATGATGATCATAGTATGGCATTGCTGGAAGACTGTAAAGACATATGGCCATCCTATAGGTTTCATAAAGCAGCAATCTGGTGTCTACCATGCACACGCCTTTGTTCTCCAGTGCAGCAGAAAGCACTCGGAATTAAAGCTTCCTTTTTGACTTCCCAGAGACAGCATGTAACACAGTCTGCCTTGTTCTAGACTTATCTGTGTGCCATATCTGCCTATTTCCCCTCTCAGCTATAAGCTCCTACAGAGCGAAGGTCATATCCTGATCACTTCTGCATTCCCTTTGGCCCTGGTCACATGACCCAATAAATACTCATTATTGAATTGAGAAGAATAAAGGAAGTCCACCTACAGATGACACAAGCAGCCACGAGAGACAGTGAAGTCACAGCCAGGGCTGAACTGCTAAAGCCTCAAGGGAGGCTCCCTTTTGGCCACAATCTCCCCAACCATGACCATGATGCATGGTCTGTTCCCTGGAACTGCTCAGCCTGAGGACACACATGGAATGAAGACCCTGCAGAAGAGAGGTCTGCAGAGACAATTCCCTCAGCAAACACACATTAAGCACCTACTGAGTGCTGGTTCTGCTCCAAGAGCAGCTTAGGTGAAATCATTTGAGATAGCTGGAAAGACCTTGGAGTAGAAGGACACCTACCTGAGAGCTGGGCGGGGCGACCAAGTTGATTCCTGGAGGGGCTGCCAGTGCTCCAGAGGGAGGACCCATGGCAGAGGTGATGACTCGATATGGAGAACCCAAGGCATTGAGGGGGGCCCCCACTGCACTCAGGGTCCGTGGGGCACTCACTGGAGTGTCTGTGTAGCTGGGGTGGCTGTCCATTGGCTTCCCCGTGGACAAGGCTGCTGACGGGCTCATGGACGTGGAACCCGTGTGGCCAGGGGAGCCTGTAAGGAGAAGAAGAGGACAGGGTTAGGGTGAGGGTTGGATTTAGGGTTAGGGGTAGGGGTAGTGTTAGTATTAGGATTAGATTTATTGGTTAGGGTTACAGTGAGGGATAGGGTTAGGTTTAGGGTTACATTTAGGGTTAGCGCAGGAAGGCAAGTGCAGATAGGCCTACCAAGATTCAGGGTTATGGTGAGTGTGAGGTGTAGATTTAGGGTTAGGGTTATGGTGACAGGTAGCATTAGGGTTAGTGTTAGGGTTACGTTTAGGATTAGGTTTGGATTCAGAGTGAGGACTAGATTTAGGGTTAAGTTAAGTTTCTGCTTTGAGATTAGATTTAAGGCTAGGGTCAGAATTAGCATTATTTTTAGGTTCAGTGTTAGGTGTATTTTTTGGTTTCGGGCAGGTTTATGGTTTGGGGGTATGTTTTAGGTTAGGATTAGGGTTTTTTTTATGGTGAGGGTTAGGTTTAGGGTGAGGGTGAAGATGTTGGTGAAGGTATGGTTTAGGGAGATGGCTAGAGTTTGGATGAGATTGTGGTTTTGGGCAGCTATTCCAAACCTTTTTGCATCAGAGACCTGTTTTGTTGAAGACAATTTTTTTCATAAACTGTGGAGTTTTGAGGTGGTTCCAGAATGATTCAAGCACATTACGTTTATTGTGCAATTTTTTCCTATTGTTATTATATGTATTATATAATGAAATAATTATTATTTTGAATTTGACATTCATTGATTTATTGTGGTCTCTCTGCAGTCACATCTCACTGCTAATATTAATCTGTATTTGCAGCCACTCCCCAGCACTAGCATCACCACCTCAGCTCCACCTCAGATCATCAGGCATTAGATTCTCATAAGGAGCAGGCAATCTAAATCCCTCACAGGTGCAGTTCACAGTAGGGCATGCTCCTATGAGAATCTAATGCTGATCTGACAAGAGGCAAGGCTCAGGCAGTAATTCAAGTGATGGAGATGGCTGTACAAACAAATGAAGCTTTGTTCACTTATCCGCCACTCACTTCCTGCTGTGCAGCCCGGTTCCTAAGAGGTCACGGACTAGTATCAGTCAGTGGCCCAGGGATTGAGGACGTATGGTTTAGGTTTAGGGTTAGAGTCAGTGGGAGGGCCAAGGTTAGGGTTAGGTTTACAATAAGGGTTAGGTTAGGTTTGGGGATAGGGTAAGAATAGGAAACGTAAAAAGGGGAGCTGTGGGGGCAGAGGCCCAGCCCTAGCCCCACTTTTGTGTCCTGTTTCCTGCCCCTCCTTTCAGCCATACTTGCCCACCTGGAAGCCCTAGGTGCTCACACCTGCACTGAGCTGGTGATAAGAAGACAAGCAGGAACAGAGAGAAGAGAGGGCTTTAGAAACATTCATTGGTATTTTTGTTCTTTGGGCTCCTCCTGGAATCCACTCTGGACTGAGTCAGATCCACAGCAAGTGTAACAAGAGGCACAGCTCACAAGTCCCCAGGCCTTGGCTACTGCACCTGGGTCAGCTGGACAGGAAGGGAAGGTGAGTCGATACCAAGTGCCAAGTTGGGGGTGGAGTGAGGAGGTGCCCACGCTGTTCCAGAATTCCTCGTCCTGGACTCATATGTCTCTGAGCACTGGGGCAGCTGTCCGTCCCCCAGAGCCAAGCCATCTGAAGAACACGGTTTTCCCTTCCGACAGTCCCTTCACTCACAGACAACAGACATGTATTGAGGCGCCAGGTAATGGGGACTGGGAGTTGAAGAGAACGTAGTTCCTGCTGTCGGGAGTCATGATCCGTAATGACGATGAGAAGGCAGAGGCTGCTGTCACACCCCCAGCTCCCTATATCTGTTGAAGCTTTATGCCCATGAGTTTCTTGTCCTGCGCAGTAGCACAGGGTTAATTAGCCCTCAGGGAAGAAGACTAGGAATGGCTGGGTATGGTTTTTTGGCTATAGAGGCCCAGGAAGCGCAGGAAGGCAAGTGCAGATAGGCCTACCAAGACCATTTCTGCATCTAGGGATAGGATGCCACAGCACAAGTGTCTGAAGAACAGGCTCTGGGTAGATGGGCCCAGCAACAGCACTGGCCAGGTGAACATCTGGTACCACTTTTCTCAGACAAATGGAGCCCAGTTCCCCTGTAGCCAGTAGCAAGCTCAAGATGAAACAGAAGGAGGATGACCTCCTGTCATCTTGGGAACTCAGCATGGAACATTCTTTACAGAACTGATGAGCCGGTGACTTCAGGACCTGTGCGGCAAAGCAGAGACTGGAAAACACAGTAGGGTACCCTGATCATGGCACTGGATACCTGAACACCTGGCATGCAAGAACAGGCACAAGGAAGCCACATGCACAGTGGCTGCACATGGTGCAGCCTTGGCTCCATATTGTCTACCTGCTAGAAAGTGAGAGGACGAAGTGGTCATAAGCACAGCCTGCTGGGGAAGCTGTCAATTCCCAGATGTCCACTGCGGGGCCAATCCCATGCCCTGCAGATACGACACAGAGTTGAGTCGGTCACACACCTGCTTTTATGTGGCCCACTATTCATTCAGCAAGTATTTCCTGGGTGCCTACTACATGCAGGACACTGCCGTGAGCCTTGGGGAGACATCAGTGGGTGCTCCATGTAGTGTTAGGAGTAGGATGCAAAGGAACCTTGCTTACTTCAGATTTTGGAGGAGAACAGGGAGTATCCGATATATAATAGGGAAACTGTTCTTCGACATAAAGATCCCCCTGGAAAAAGGGGTCTCTCTCAGAGCTTTTGCTAGCTTCATTAAGGGCTACTTATGGAAGGAAGTCACAACGCTAAGTGGTGACCTTCTTGTCATTCCACCTATATAGTTTCAGTCTATCTGGGACAATTGATTGCATCAGAGGCAGATGACTCCCAAGACCCCATGTTCTCAGTACCACAACTGGGAAGGAACCATATGCCAGGTGTGGTGGCTCACACCTGTGATCACAGCACTCTGAGAGGCTGAGGTTAGAGGATCACTTGAGCTCAGGAGTTCAAGACCAGCTTGGACAACATAGTGAGATCTCTTCTCTAAAAATATTTAAAAAGAAAGAAAAGAAAAGAGCAGGAACCACATGCTGTGGGCCCACAGGGGAGTATCAAAGCAGTTAGAATGAACAGGTCAGACATTTCTTATGTGTTCTCAGCAGCATCTGCCAATTTCCATACATTAACTCTTTATCCTGACTACATAAACCTGTAAGGAATAGTTTAGCCTTTTGCAGATCAGAAAACTTGGACTCCATCTCACCTTATGCTGCTCCCAGTTCCAGAATGGCTTGCCTTCCACCTCCATTGTTTGGGAAGCTCTTATTCATCCTTCAAGGTCTAACTCAAGTGTCACCTCCTCCAAGAAGACTTCTTTGGTATTCTTGATGGGCTTTGATATCCTATTCTGTTTTCTAATAGCCATGTGTGCTTAGTTATATCTTAGTACTTATTATACTGTAATGTCATATTTGTTCATTTCCCTGTCTTTTCCTCTAAGCGGAGAGGAGAAAACCATGCCCAATTTTGTTTCTCCGTCTTTTGCAGGGTACCTGGCACTGACCGGGTGGTAAGTGGCAGAGCCTAGATTCAAATTGTCAATCTGAAGTCCACACACTCCCCTGTGTTTGCTGTCAAGGACGGCTAGGATGACTTGGAGAGTCATCCGCATCAAGAGTACAGGATGACTCAATTATGGAGTAATCTCCAGCTGAAAGTTCATCTGAAGGAGAGAAGAGAGGGCAGCGCTCAAGAGCTCAAGTCAAGAAAACCCCAACTCTTTCCAGACGGCCACAGGTTGGAAAGAGCAACTGTAGACTCTTCTGGGGTCCTGGAGGCTTTGACATTTATAGAGGCCAGTGTGTACTTTGAGTCTGTTACTAAGATAAAGGGTGACAGGTGAGTTAGGAATCAGCCCTGACGCAATGGGTGAAGAGCCCTGAGCTCCTGGGATGGCAGCTGTCTGTCCTCCAGAGCCAAGCCATCTGAAGGAACACGGCCTTCCCTTCTAGCTTCAGCTTTCCAAAAACAGACCAGAGGGCCCTGCAACTCTCCCTTTTATCATGCCTAGACAGATCTCAGAGAGACAATGCCTTCTATTTCTGTGTCCCCACCACCAAGCCCAGTGCCTGATGCAAGGCCTAGACCAACAAGACCGGCAAGAACAAGAGTTTCCTTCACACGGTCATTGACCCAGGCATTCCTGGGGTGTGGAACCAGTGCTACCAGTAATAAGGGATGTTTTAAGAGATATGTTGGCAAACTTTTTTTTAATTAGTGGTTTTATATTTGTTTTCTGTTTCCTTCTGTTTATAGCAAGTCTCTGAGCTTCTATTGTTTGTATAAAATGATCTTCCTATTTATTTTGTTTTTGAGTTGGGGTCTCAATCTGTCATTCTGGCTGGAGTGCAGTGGCACGATTATGGCTCACTGCAGTCTCCACCTCCTGTGCTCAGGTGATCCTTCCACCTTGGCCTCCCAAGTAGCTGGGACTACAGGCATGTATCACCACCCCAGCTTATTTTTAAATTTTTTGTAGAGACAAGGTCTCACTACATTTCCCAGACTGATCTCAAACTCCTGGACTCAAGCAATCTTCCTGCCTCGGCTTCCTAGAGTGTTGGGATTATAGACATGAGCCACTATGCCTGGCTTATTGAAGTTTTTTAAAAAATAGTAAATTGATCTAAGTACAAAAGATACTCAATATATAAAATATGAAAAATAAATAAATAAAGAAATAATGTTTAACAAGCAGCAATCTGCCCAAAATATCCAAATATGGACTTGGAAGAACTTGCAAGTTGTTTCAAAAATAAAATGAGATAATCATGCAAAAATATTTGAAATTTAAAGTACTTTATTGTTGTTATAGTGTCATTATTATCAATAAAAAACGAGGCAATTTGACTACTCAGTGTAGTGGTGAAAATGGTATATTTTTGAGACAGAATGGAATAACAAGTTCAAGTTTGGCTTTCAACGGCCTTGAAAAATGTGGCTTATTTCTGACCCT